TTATGATATCTAACTACTTTGATGAAGTTTGATGAAAATCAACATGAAAACGAATGAGCTCGCAATCAAAAAACAGCCTCATGCAGGAAATGCCAGTTCAGGTTTTGCTTTCCACTTGTACCGTTAAACGTTACGACTTATCCAGTATTTGAGTTTTTATTGAAAAGAAAGAGAATGTGAATTCATAAATCAAACAAATTTAACGCGAATTAGGGCGAGGTTTGGTTCAACAAGATATACTGAGGAAAGGCGTATTTCATTTTATCGAATGGATAGTAAGTTTGTATCTACCAAAGCACTTTCAGTGTTGCCACGGACAACTTTCCTCGTTTCCAATGGTAACAAAATCGTTGCCTACAATTTCGCGCTCTTTGCTGCTAATGAAGTCAAAGACCAACAAGTTATCATTGGAAACGGAGCCAGTTGCCGGTGACAACAACGCGGTTTAAATGTTAAAACTCGGTTACCAGTCTTTCGTCGCGCGTTACTCAACTGATAATCGTAGTAATGACATGCAAAGTTCCAAGTAGTACTTTTTTTTATTTCAGTGAAAAGTACCACATTCAGTGCTTGATCCAATCGTATCAATTGTAAGCCTTACTTTACGACTCGTACGAGACGTACCACTTGAACGACTTGGATCATAGCCTTCACGACTTGTACAAGTGGTGAGTATTGCTAAATACATTCGACACTTAAATAAAGATATTTTATTTAATTTTGTTTTAATTTTTACTTTCTTTCTTTCTTTCTTTATTTTTTTTGGATTATCTAGTTCCTTAGCCTTATAATATTTCGCCCAAGTCAATCGTTTCGGATCATTTGGTGCTATTTTTTTATGATCTTTCTGGGCAGGGATAAAATAGGTATCCCTATTTTGATATTTTCAGCCTTTTGACCAAGGTATTTTCCTATTTGGCCCAATTTTATCCTCTACTTCATGTCAATTTAAGTTTGAGGCTATTTTCAACCTATTTTATTTTCAACTTCTTTCATTCATATGTTTAAAACCTATTTTAAAGCTAATTTACAGACGTTTTGACCAGCACTTTCGACTATTTTTTGATATTTTTTGCTATTATTTTTTCAAAATGATAGGTTTAAAGTGAGGTAAAATATTTGTTGAATATTCCAGAAAAATATTTAAAAAATACAAACGTTGGGAACAAAAATAGCAAATAAAATAGGTGTAAAACGGATCTAAAATTGGCATTATATTTTCGTAAGGGAACTTAAGAGACACATGACACACATCTGAAGTGGTCGAAAAGGCGATCTTGAATGATTTCTTGACCATAACCAGTACCCCGCTGAACCCTGATGATGATAACTTAGGAATTGCTCTGCCTCCTGTGTTTCACATTTTCCGGTCACCTTATGTTACAGAACCCACGGAGCAGGGACAAAATGTTGCAGACCTTACTAGACTACCTTATGTATGTTGGAGTCTTAAGGATTATCATCTTCGTAGGTACGATCGTCGCCGTCTTCGAATACTTGTTCCGGCGAGTGCAACATTTCAACCCAGGTACCCTGATAGGAATGGGTTTGGGTGGAGCCATTGGCTTGATCGGTTTTGTCTGGTCACATTGGTATTGGATCTGTGCTATTGCTGCATGTTTGTTGGCAGGTTTTATTGGCATCGGGCTTTACAGGCGCGGAGAGGAACGGCGCAACAGAGCCAATGAGGAACGTATACTCGAGATACTCCAGAGAGCATTAGAGCAATAGAATAACAGTGCAATCAGAACCTACAGATGAAAATCATTAATAGCAACATTTATGGCGATCAGGGGAGATGAATCTGAGTCGCCTTAAGTAATTTAGGTATCACATACTTTGTGGTTGATTTCTTCTTTTATCCAACTAATCACTCCACTGGATTTGCATTGACTATTAAACTACTCACTGTAGTACTGAAGTTTGATATGTTATATACAACNGCCTCCTGTGTTTCACATTTTCCGGTCACCTTATGTTACAGAACCCACGGAGCATGGACAAAATGTTGCAGAACTTACTAGACTACCTTATGTATGTTGGAGTCTTAAGGATTATCATCGTCGTAGGTACGATCGTCGCCGTCTTCGAATACTTGTTCCGGCGAGTGCAACTTTTCAACCCAGGTACCCTGATAGGAATGGGTTTGGGTGGAGTCATTGGCTGGATCGGTTTTGTCTGGTCACTTTGGGATAGGAACCCTGCTATTGCTGCATGTTTGTTGGGAGGTCTTATTGGCAGCGGGCTTTACAGGCGCGGAGAGGAACAGCACGACAGAGCCAATGAGGAACGTCTACTCGAGATGCTCCGGAAAAAATTAAAAGCAATAGAATAACAGTGCAATCAGAACCTACAGATGAAAATCATTAATGGCAACATTTATGGCGATCAAGGGAAGTGAATCTGAGGCGCCTTGAGTAGTTTAGGTATCACATACTTTCTGGTTGATTTCTTCTTTTATCCAACTAATCACTCCACTGGATTTGCATGGACTATTAAACTACTGACTGTAGTACTGAAGTTTGATATGTTATATACAACTAGGGGAATCTTTGAAAACTACTTTTGATGCATTGCATTTCACTGTTTGCCAAACTATTCATCAAAAGCACCATGCAACGACACTCATTTCTTTTTACAGCATATACACTCTTTAATTTTAACGGAATATTGTTTTTCGAACGAGGCTCAATTTTCTTATTTCGAAAATTAAGGCCTGGCTTTAAAACTTTTCGTGAAAAAAGCGAGGGAGTGGTCTAATTTTTTAAGCATTTATAGTAAAAAATACCTTTTAACCTTGGAAATCATTATGAGCAAGAAGTTCGGCAACCTTAAATATTTTGGGCTCATATATTGTCACGTGACCTATCAGGACTATTTTTAGTTCAAATTTCTTCTTAGCAAAACGGCACCACTTTTACAGCATCTAGGAAGCTTACGTTAGCTTGATAATGTTAAGATTATTAGGTGCATCATTTCCGTGCCCGGACTTGTTGAGATTTTTTAAAATAAAAGCATTATAAGACTGGGCACTGGTACAAAGTGCCTTTTCTTTTTCACCTCATCTCACCCATCTTCTTCGCGCTCTGTTGCGCAGTTTATTTTCAAAATTAATGAAATATTTCACAAAGTCCAGTCACGGATCCTTTGTTACTATCCGTTTGAACCTTGCCTTAATTTTCTGAGTCCGCCTATTTCAGACTGAATATATCCTTGTGACTTTTCTTACATTACAGCCGTATGACGTTTCTGTTTCCGAAGGTATTTAGTATCTGGATGGTGTTAGAGTAATTTTAGAGCCAGCCTGCAGGCATCAGAGCCGCAANTTTTAACGGAATATTGTTTTGCGAACGAGGCTCAATTTTCTTATTTCGAAAATTAAGGCCTGGCTTTAAAACTTTTCGTGAAAAAAGTGAGGAAGTGGTCTAATTTTTTAAGCATTTATAATAACAAAAGACCTTTTAACCTTGGAATATCATTATAAGCAAGAAGATCGGCAACCTTAAATATTTTTTGGGCTCATATATTGTCACGTGACCTATCAGGACTATTTTTAGCTCAAATTTCTTTTTAGCAAAACGGCACCACTTTTACAGCATCTAGGAAGCTTACGTTAGCTTGATAATGTTAAGATTATTAGGTGCATCATTTCCGTGCCCAGACTTGTTGAGATTTTTTAAAATAAAAGCATTATAAGACTGGGCACTAGTACAAAATGCCTTTTCTTTTTCACCTCATCTCACCTATCTTCTTCGCGCTCTACAGGCTGTTGCGCAGTTTATTTTCAAAATCAATGAAATATAACAAAGTCCAGTCACGGATCCTTTGTTACTATCCGTTTGAGCCTTGCCTTAATCTTCTGAGTCCGCCGATTTTAGGCTGAAAATATCCTTGTGACTTTTCTTATATTACGGCCGGATGACCTTTCTGTTTCCGAAGGTATTTAGTATCTGGATGGTGTTAGAGTAATTTTGGAGGCAGCCTGCAGGCATCAGAGCCGCGAACATGCGGATAGTGCTGTTTTTGCTGCTTTTTGGCTAGTTTTGCCGTTTAGATAAGGAAGGATTATATACGATGTAGTTAAAAACATATAATTGTGTTGTATTTCCAAATTTTCAACACAAAAGATTATATGTTTTTTTCAAAATCTCAGCCTCGGGTTTACTCTTAAAATGTTCTTAAAATTTCGCAAATTTCAACCTGTGTATTCTTATAAAACATATTCTTATGAAAAAGATAAAGTTTAAAGGCTATATGTCAGAAAATATGACATATTGTGTAGTTCTAATCTGAGGATCAAGAGTAATTTTTCTTCTCAAGGGTATTTAGATGTGCTGGTGATAATGTTCTACCAGCAAATTTAGCAAGCAAAGCAACCAATCACATTACAGAAAAGCTGATAAACCAGTAGCCTCTTAATTAATGGTATGTCCTGGACAACAGAGGGATTCCCAAAAGAAAGTGCCGAGTGTCTTCAAATAATAGCTCCTGAAGCACAATTTACAACTACTAGCTTAATATTTTAATCAAAATGATGGTCAAGGAGGCACAGCTGAGTTATTGTTTAGCTTGTACAATTAAAGTTATAATTTTAAAATGCTCCAAGTTAGTACCATAGTAGAAAGAAGGTGTAAGAATTGCAACATAGATTTTGGTATTCCTGCTTGATACTACAATAATCTAGCAAATGTGATACATATTTAACTAATTAACGTCAATTAGTAAGTGAGTGAGTGAGTGAGTGAGTGAGTGAGTAGTACAGTAGTATAGTATATCTTTATTGCGCCTTACTCTCCAAAGGGAGGTATTGGTCTGTTTACAATAAAGGTT